TGTGGAGCTCTTTTACCTGCCTGTAATCCTGCACCGACTGGGCTAATTCTCAAGCTAGGGCTGGCTCTGAAGCTCACACAGACCCCTCAAGCCTGTTCCAGACTGGGACAGAGACCCTTTACATGCAAGGATCAGTCCCCAGACCCATTACCCACAGATCTATGAGCTAGGTAACCGGCAAACAGGTCCTTGGAAGCCGTAGGTTGGAAAGCATGGCCGTGCACGGCAGATGCCCGAGGCAGACTCCAGCCAAGGTGGTGGCACCGTGCATGCACAGCAACTCCACCCACACACACACACACTATTTGTTTACTGAACCACTGCCAACCAGCCCTGAGGTGAGAGGGCCTGATTAAATTGTTCTATTTTCCCAACCGTCTACCCCATTCAGGGTCTCTTGCCATAAGATCTACGCATTCGGAAACTTCCGCGATGTTTGTTCACTTAGGATAAATGACCCTTACATTTACATATTACACATTCCATCCCAGTCCCAAAAGTCTTTAGCTTGTTGCAACACCAACTCAAAAGTCCAAAGTCTCATCTGAGACTAAAGGCAAAACTCCCTTCAGCTGTGAACCTGTAAAGAGTCAAAAACAAGTTGATCTACTTCCAAGATACAGTGGGACAGACAATGGGTACACATTCCCACTCCAGAAGGGAGGAATAGAAAGGAAAAACAGGCCCCAAACAAATCCAGAAGTCAAACAGGGCAAACATTAAGCACACTGGGGTACCCAGACCCCTAAGGCATTGGGCAACCATGCTCCTACAGTTCCGCCAAGTGCAGACCATTGAGCTGCCTGGTGCCTGTGGCTTTTCCAGGCTGGTGCTGCACACTGCCAGCACCCCATGGTTCTGGGTTCCTGGTGGCAGTCCCACTATACTGGCTCCACTAGACATTTCTCCTCAGTGAGGGTTCTCTGTGGGGGCTCTGACCCCACTTTTCTGCTCCACATTGTTCCACAGATGACCTCTGCAGTGGCTCCACCCCTGCAGCAGGTCTCCAACTGAGTCCCCAAATTTTTCATACATCTTCTGAAATCTAGGTGGAGGCTGCCACGCCTCCACTGCTCTCACATACTGCTGGCCTGCAAACTTAACACAATGTGAACACCACCAAGGTTTTTGGCTTTTGCTCTTTGGAGGTGCTGAGGCAAGACTGCTCCAGCCAGAGTGGCTTGGATGCAGGGAGCAGTTTGCCAGGGGCAGCAGTGCCCCAGGTCTGTCCTCTGGGACAACTAAATTCTGCTAGGCCTTCAGGGCCTGTGATGGGTGGGGCACCCTTCCAGACTTCTAAAATGCCTTTACGGCTTTTTCCCCATTGTCCTGGTTTTTAGCATCTGGCTGCCTCACCACC